AGAGCCTCCCATCCAGGCAGAAATGGAGTTCCAATTGTATCTTCATCTCTCTAGCATGAGTATTTATTGTTATAGTTTTGTAAAAGGCAGTTCTGCCTAAAAACAGTTTAAATTCCATCAGTTCTGCCTGGAAACAGTTTAAATTCCATCAGTTCTGCCTAAAAACAGTTTAAATTCCATCAGTTCTGCCTGAAACAGTTTAAATTCCATCAACCATTTTGGCCAGAACAGCCTGTTTATACTGAGATAAATTGTTAAAGTCCTCACCCGTCTGAGGCAAGAAAAGAACTTACTTGGGAGATATTCCTCACCCAAATTCACAATCGTTTGTTTGCAGAAATCAGTAACTTGGGGCGCAAGTTATTTACTCCAAACTAAGTCTGCTAGAATTTTTATTGCTAGCAGTGGCACGCTTGCACACCAAAGAAAGCTGACTTGTCGACCAGTTTATGGTTCTCAAGGCAGTGAGGAACTTTGCCCTTCCATCACAGGAGTGAACGCCAAACGGGCAAACACAAACAAGTATGATATGCCATTTGCACTTCATAGGAGTAAACCACTATTTGCAATCAATACAATTTGGATGTGCACTTTTACAAGATGAGACAGAGGTGACATTTTTTGTGGTTGTTTGAGACATGGCTTGAAGCAATGGGAGGACGTCATCCAATTTCCCTTATTACTAATCAAGACTTGGCAATGAAAGGACCAATTGCCAAGATTTTTCCTAACACTCGCCATCGGTTATGCCTCTGGCATATTAAGAAGAAGTTTGTAGAAAAATTGTCACATGTGTACTTCAAGAAGTCCAAATTCAAAATTCAGATGAAGAAATGTACATTCGGTCAACATACAAGATAGATGAATTTGAAGAAAAGTGGAAGGAATTGATGAAATAATGTGAATTGGCTAATGATAACTGGTTGAATAGTTTATATGATATATGTTCTTCTTGGGTTCCTGTTTATAATCGTGGCATATTTTTCTGCAGGAATGAACACTACTGGACATAGTGAGGGTATTCATTCTTTTTTTGATGGATTTTTTACACCGACAACAAATCTTAGAGAGTTTGTTGTCAAATATGAACAAGCACTAAAGAGGATCATGGATAGAGAAAGTGATGAAGATTTTGAATCAGAACACAAGTATCGCATTGTGAATGAAAGAGAATTCCTTTGAAAACATGCAGCGAAGTTTTATACCAGAAATGTTTTCAATAAGTTTAAGGATGAATGGAGCAAAGTTACTCTCTACAAAGTTGAATACATTCCATGTGACGACAAATATCATGCATACCTAGTGAAAACAAAACTTGGAGAGCATGAAGAGTTTGTGGTGAAGTTAAATTTGCAAACATACAAAGGTATGTGTGAATGCCAAAATTTTGAGTTTGTTGAAATACTTTGTCGACATTTGTTGAAAGTATTTGTCTGCCTTGATATAGATACACTACATGACCATTTTATTCTTCTAAGATGGAGACAAGAAGCAAACAAATTTAGGATAATGGATTTTAAAAGTTTGGTGACAAATGATGGTAAAGAAGAATCAGAGGCTCTGTGACTTAGCCATATGTGTCATCAAGCAACAAAGTTGGCTTGCATTGCAACATCTTCAAATGAGGCAAATACAACTTTCATGGAAGCCATAAATGAATTGTCCAAGAAACTGTTAGACAATTCTACTCAGTATGTGTTGTAAAGCTAATAAGTGGAGCCCACATGTTGGAAGGGAATCTCCACACACCTTCCTGGAGCCTTCTTTTTACCTAATTGTTTGCCAAGGCTTTGCCTATAATATATGGCTTCATTCTCGTTTGTAATTGACAGAGCAAGACTCAATGAAAATATCAGAAGAGCATTTCTGTTGCTATTTGTATTCTCTCCATAATTCGCTCTAGTTTTTACAACAATATGCAACAATTCTTTCCTCAACAGCAGGTGATCCATGTAGTACTAATATTGGTTCTTCTAAATTATTGCTTTTGGACCCCAATATCTCTCAAACTAAGGGTAGAAAGAAGGACAATATTAACAGTTCAAAAAGGATAAAAAGTGGTATTGAGTTGGCTCAAAACAAGAAGAAAAGAAAGTACGCATTATGCAAAAAGATAGCACAAACATGACAAAAGAAATTGTCCATCAAATCTGAAATGATGAAAGAATGAATCAGCGAATCTTGTTTTATATATATATATATATATATATATTTCTAATAGTAAGGTCAAAAGCTCATGTTTTAATTTGATTATTATGAATCTAAATTCAGGCAATGAAGAGTTAGAAGACTTGTGCCAAGATATGGAGAGTGATGACCAAGAATGTTGTTAATGGTGAGTTTTTTTTTAAGTTGTGATCAATTTTCTTTTCTTTTACTTTAATTTATGCTCATTAGATAAATAAAATGTATTTTTGTGTATCTTTGATATTGTCTTGCATCAGGAATAGTCTATTATGTTCATCAGGGGGAAGCTCTTGTCGCAGCAGTGATCATTGGTCTTGTTATCTCCGTATATGTGGCATTACATAGACAAATTACATGTCTCTATGCTTTTTGGATTATGATGTCTTGTATCAGGAATGTTTATGTACTATTTGATACAAAATGTGTCTCAAAATTGTTCTTAATCCTTTGTTTATGGGAGTTTCATGATAGTAAAATATTGTAGATGCCCATTTATCGTAAGGTTTACGAAATTATCAAATTGCATCCTTATTGTTTTTTTTTTTTTTTTTGGTGTCATTTGTGCTCCTCAGGATTAGTATGAGCGCTCACAAACGGTCCTTGCCGCGAGGTTCCATAAAAAACTCTGTTACTAATCTTGAGGAAAGTAAAGAAGAGGGCGCGAGTGTTAAAAGTTCGTTGGTCGGTTGGATGAGTACTTTCTATTTTTACCGGGAAAGCGACGAAAGTGTAATGATCATAATGTTAGAAAAAGCAGGAACGCACTCAAAATCTTTAATTTCTGGAAACCTGACTCACTCACTCAGCAAACTCTGTCAATGGCTGCTCGCTCCCGCACGTCGTCCCTGCCCCGACGGACCATCCAGGATGTTCCTACATGCGAGAATATCAAGCTTTCTATGAATGAATGCAGAAAGGTCGATGTGCTGGGTCGCGGATCTTACGGAACTGTGTGGAGAGTAATGGCTCCGTAAGCGCTCACGTACTGGTCAATTTTATTATAGATCTCTTAACTGCTACACTGACTTCAATTGATCTGTGAATCTCTTTGTTAGTTGCACACTGTTGGCTTATTTTTTTATTTTTATTTATTTTTATTTTTTGATAATTGGGGCTTCAGGGTAGATTTACATATCGAAAGTGAAGTTCAGGTGTCAGATTGTCAAAATATTTCCTTCATGTGGTAATATTTTCTTGATACGTATAGTGCTGAATGGTTCTGGCAGAGTCATAGGGCTGAATGGAGTAGGTTTTGGAGGAATACAAAATAACATCAGGAAGTAATGATCAGCATTTAAAATTAAAAGATAAATTTGGTTTGATTGCGACTAATTGTCAAGTTTACAGATAGCCGTTCAGGCATTCTTTCGTAGCTTAGATATATACATGTATGAAAATTGCTTTTAGATATATATTCATATTCACTTCGATTCATGTTCGCTCCGATTCCATTCAAGGCAGCAACTCGGCTGCTGACGAGTTGGGCCATGTTTTTTTTGGCTGGTTAGAAATTAGAACATGTTTCTTCATCACACCTTTCTTATTGAGCCATGTTCTAGTCAGAATCTCCATCAACACCGATAGTTAATACCTCTACTCATAAAAATCTTATTAAGAAAGTGGTTCTATATATCTCATCTTTCCTTCAGTATCTGATATTTCATCACATCTTTCTTGATGGTGATTTCATGTTTCCCTGCAGAGGCGGATGCTTCTTTGCTGCTAAGGAAGTTTCCTCAAGTGATCGGGCAACTGAGCAGCTTGAACAGGTGACACCGTGACAGAGGCTTGTGTTGCATCATTTGTCCTGATCTTGCATGTCTCTTTTACTCGGCTATTAAGCGTCTGTTTGATAACCATTTTAATTTTAGTTATTGTGCTAAAGTGTAGAATAAAAAGAGGAAGAATGGTGTTGGAATTTTAAAAAGGTTTTAAAAAATTTACCGTTTTGATTTGTTTAACTATTTTGGTTGTTTTATTTTACTTATTGTACATGTTATAAATATTTAATATTTAAATTTTATTTATATATTGAATGCTTTAATTTCTAGTTTAATGTGGTGAAGGTTACATGTTCTTGAATACCTATAAAAGGTCACTCCTCCTTCACATTTGAAACAACACTATATACCATACTACCACAATATGAAACTACCATATAACACAACCATTACCACAATCTGTTTCTCTCCTCTTCTACCTTTCACAATTTCTCTACTTCAATTATTATTTTTGGGCAACGATTTTGTCACTTGGAGTCCTATATATCCGACTATGAACGTACTCATAACAGACCTTGAGCTTGTGTATTGGAGGTCGTATCTTGGGGTCTTGTAGACCGTCAGTACTTGCACTTAAGGAGGCTACAAAGGCTGACGTGCTACACCATACCAGGCTTGCTTTCATAATCTTAATTAATTTTACTTTTATTTACATATTATTTGTTTCTTTAGTTTTACTTATTACCTTAAAAGACTTTTCAATTTGTTTTATATATTATTTATATTATAAAAGGTTTGCTTTTGGCTTTTACAGAAAGAGGAAAACTATAACTTTTATAACAAATGGAAGTGAGAATAAGGGTAAAGATGAGATTGAGAGGGGAAGATGAGATTGAGGTGTAACAAAAGTGAAAATTAAAACTAAAAACTGAAATCTATTTCAAATTATTTTCACTTTTCTTACTCCTCCCTCTCATCTTTTGTCTCAATCTCATTCTCACTCTCATTTTCCTACAAAAAATTAAAACTAAAAACTGAAATTGAAATGGGTATTAAACGGGCCCTAAGTAATTCAGTAATTGTGTATGATAGGGAAGCTCTGACTCATCATCAGCCATTGACTAAGGATCATGATCAACGGTTCAGTCAAAATCTGACTGAATGACGACTGTGATGATGAGTTAGAGCTTCCTTCATATGATTAGGGAGGTCTGCATTGATTACTGTTTCTTTTATATTTCTTCTCATTCTTGGTTTTGTTTCCTATATTCCAGGAGATTGCAATTCTGAGTGAGTTTCAACACGAGAACATAGTTCGATATTACGGCACAGATAAGGTACAATCTATTGTTTGTTGTTGCTTTTGAGCTTGAATTTACACCAAAAGTCATGATACACACTTATCCACCGAAGTAACACTTTATATAATATATAGACGTATTATCTCTGCAAAAATCACTTGAATTCTTATTTAACTAATCAATTAAATTATTGAAATTTTATTAGTACTTTCTTGAAATATTGTGTTCATTAATTTTATAGGACACAATTAGATGTCGAAACAGTTTATGATTTGTCTAATTTTTTTAAAGGATAATTTATGAATTTAGACTTGAAAATAGATGGTTCAAATCGTTGAATTTTTTTTTTCTTTTGGGTAGTGGGCCCTGAAGGGTGTTCCTCAAATAAAATTATTTAAGGTATCTCTGAATAAAAGGGGACTAATACAGAAAGTTTTGAGATCTCTCAAATAAGGGTCCACTACCTATTGTATTTCAATGATCTTCCTATAAATTAAATAACTACTTGATCACCACACATAAATTTTTTTATTAAATTTTAATAAATTAATGCTCTTATTAAATTAAGACTCTAAGGCTCTACTTGATCTAATTTTGATTCCACAATAAAAACGATAAAAATGATTTTCCAATTTTATTCCATAGTTATTAGTGATTCAAAGAAAGTTTAATTTTGTGAATAAAGTTATAAAATAAAATAAAAAGTTCTTATTATTACTTTATTTATAATTTTAATTTAAATATTCTAATCCAAAACCATTTGACCACACAATTAGATGGTTGTTATTATTGTCTTTTCTTGAAGTATTGTGTTCGTCTATTTTGTTGGTCCGAACTAGATGCCTTAATGAGTTTCAATTTGCTTGGTTTTTAGCAAGGGTGATCTATGAATGAAAACTTGAAAAATAAACAGTTTAGATTGTTGAAAATTATTTGTAGGGGACCCTTGAAAGAAGTTGAGGTTCCACCCCAAAACCAATTGGCAATGAGGGGAGTAGCCCAACTACTTATAAGCCCTTGCTAGGTTTCTCATCTTTCCAATGTGCGACATTTTCATCTTCATATTCTCACACGTCCCCTCGCACATGTGATGAATTTTCAAGCATAACCCTTGGACAACATAATATTAGTTGATTTGGAGCACATATGACTGTTGGGCTTTCACATGTGCTCAAATAGAGTGTGAGTGTGTGTGCGCACACACACACACACATGTACGTGTTCTGTTTGTGTGTGTTACACAGTAGGAAACAAATTGCAACAAAGAATAGGGATGTAAAACAATAGAATCCTGGGATTTTAAGGCCCTGTGTGAAACTTAAACGGGTGTGTGTGTTGAAATTATTTATACAAGATGCCTCATTTGGTGCATAATGCAAGCTTTCCTTAGTAGGAAACAAATGGCAACAAAGAATAGGGATATAAAACAATAAGATCACTACTCAAAAAAGGCTCAAAAGACACTAAGTGCTATCAGTCTCTTTTGCCTTCTTTAGGGACTGAAAACAGTGCTTATTGTAGTATTAGGGACTGATGTATATCAGTGTCCTTTAAAGGGGTCCTCTATTGATATTATGTCACTGATTATAAACCTCCGTACCTAATTTTTGCAATGGGTCCCATATTCCTAGCACCCAATACGCGTACATCAATTCCAAATACATCCGTAACTAATGCATTGCCTAGGTACAGATATCAGTGCCTTTATATTATTTTATTGTTTTATAATATATCCCATCCTCCATCCGTGCCTTTAAAACATTTATGGTTTTTTTTTTCTTTTCCCATTTCCAATTAATTTCCTTTTCATTCTCTCAAAAGCTGCCCAAAGCATCAAAATCCCGAGCATGCCAATATGGTCAACAAGTGAATTTAATTACACCAGCACATCATATTATTCTTGTTAGTCCTATTACTTCTAGCTTCCACACTTATTTGCATCCAAACCAAAACATTCAACAATGGACTTTGTACCTCTGCAGCATTTCTTGCTCCTCCATGGTTGTGTATTCATCATCTTCCGGCCTGCATCCCCCTCCATCTACTCAAGTTTCTCCAACTCATCCTACAAAACACCATTACATAAAACACACAACATCCATCATATGGTAATGAGTAGTTGCAATAATTATTTGATTGTTCCATTTAATTACTACAATAGGCATTAATATAACTTACTTTTGCCGCTTCATCATTAATTGTCCTAGGAGTAGGGCCCTTCTTACTGTAAGCAAGCCTGAAAATTATGCAGATTGAATATCATTGACAAACAAATACCATTGCCTTTGAACCAAAAATTATATATGAAGATACTAGCTAAAAGACAAAAAATTATATATTAAGGACTTAATATTCATTGCACACTTAAAACAATTTTTTTTAAAAAGCACTGGTTGAAGCAATGACACTCTCAACCAAAAAACAAAGAAAGTAAACATGACTTCCGCAACAAAGCTTGGTTAAAGACCAAATAACATACTAGCTAAAAGACATGCATACTTTGAAGCAGTCAATATTATTCATGCACCAAATTTAAATCAACCTGAAGATAAATAACGAGTGGCCACTATCCAATTATTGGAAATTTGTGCAAAATAGCAAAAGCATTGCGTGTTACTTGCAATTTTCTGATAAAGCCTCTGAAACAACAAGAGTGTAGATCCCAAGGACAAAGGTAAACATATGTTTATATTCCTGCAAAAGTTATTGGGTTGTAAAACAATCCACCAAAAGAAGAGGAAATAACCCTTCCTTAATCTAGTTTAATACAAAATCTACACTATTAGTATATCAGAGAAGCAGAAGCACCAAACAAGAAGCGATTCAATTTCTTGTCATTTTAACAATCCTTGCTCACTGATAGTATGTTCAAAAAGGGGAAAAAAAAATTTATATAAAGAAAATAACCATTAAGTCCCTAACAAGAGTAATATAGGCCAAAGGTTAAAACATCAAGCTCCTCTGCAGCACCAAGGGAATTACTCAATTAGCTACAAAAATGGTATCCTCCAAACATGCTTTACATTGGGCAGCAGAAAACATAGGAGAAACACGTTTGGAAAAGACAAATATTGAGCCAAAACATAAGTTTTTACCTTCACTGAGTTATGGTCAATCTTTAGAGGCTTTGTACGAACTGCAACTTAATCAATTGAAACACATTTTTCACAAGTAACGAAGGGGGAAAAATCAGACATGAGAATTCATGAACAAAAGGCTAAGTTCCTTTGCCCAAAAATGTATAAAACAATCAACTACCCAAGGTAACAACAACTCTAATAGTGACCACACTAAATACATATATGTGATAATTATAAAATTCGGGTCAGCATCCAGACCAGCAACTAATGCAATCAATGATACATAAACAAATTAAACAAGTGGAGACGGGGAATTTGGACTTGTACTGATTCAGGTTGATGAATCAGACATCTTCTGCCTCTTAAAACTACCAATATATCCAAATATAAATTTTGAAAGAAATTTTTTTAGAACATTGTTTTCAGTTAATTTCAACTAGGCTATTGTCTATCCACTAAAAGTGGAAGAGTCAAGACAACTGCCTCACTCTCTTATACTCAAACCTTACAGATGGTCTCAAAATTGCATACTGCTTATAAAACATCGACAACTAAGGATGAGATTATATTGATAAAACCATAAAAACGTTCTCAAAACATTAAGGATCCAGTTCAACAGCTGCAAATATCAAGTCTAATTGTACAAAACAAGAAGAGCCGCAGGATTCACAATTTGTAATGAATGAAAGCAAACCAAGAGCAGTGCACGACGCACCTATTTTAAGCACATCCACGGAGCCAATATGTAATATACGCACTTGTTACTTGGCATCAACCACTACATAGGCAATAGAATCCCCTGATGACCTAAACTGTAAACCAAAATTTCAAGCTAGCTAGTAATTAAAACAATGATGACAAAATTACTTAGGTAAGTGCATATGTAAAACAATGATGCCTAGCTACGACTACTCTGCTTTCAATATATGTAAATTCCAATGTTCCGTTATGACCAAAACCCACTTCTCAGTTCTGTTTTTCTTTTGAAAGATTAATTGGTTGCTGACTGAATCACCCCAAAACTAATGTCTTGTTAATTGATCCTTGGTTCCAAATATGTAGCATATGTTACAATTAATTAACTAAAGCCCCCCATAGTTGTCTGGCTAGTATAGTTCATGCAACCCATGATTTTAATACAGACAAAATCACAGGTGCTGGCAAAAGAGAAAATCAGTAACAAATCAAATGCACAAGAACAGAACAGTAGAATACCTTCCCTCCTATTTCTCTCCCTTTTTTCTTTCAATGCTTCTCTTTCCTATACTAGCAACAATAACATCAAAACCAAAAATACAGCAACAGCAAAACAAAAATAGTCCAAATATCAAATACCGACAAATCAAACCAGTCCAAAAACACCAAATCAGAAACACCCAAACATCGAAAGCTTAGGGATTTTCGTAACTTAGATTAAACCCAGAGAGGCAGAGAGATCCGAGAGAGAAGAGGACCTGAGTGAGATTGAGAGAGAGGAGGGAGGAGGTGCATCGAGAGTTGAGAGAGAGAACGAGATAGGGTTGATAGAGTGAGGAGTGAGAGCGGAGCGAGAGCGAGACTTGCTTGCCTGAAGAAAGAAAAGAAAATTGAAAACCAAAATTTGAGAGGGTATACAGCTGTCAAAATTTTAGATGGCAAAACAAGGGTACAAAAGAAGAGAATGGCGGACGATGTAATGTATATTTATAAAGTCCTTAGTTGGCACTGTCTTTGTATTGGTTCGTGCCTTACTGAAAATGATGGGGGCTTTAGGCACTGTTTTCAGTTTTTCCGTGCTTTATTCTCTACTTTATTCAAATAATTAGTCACGAAAATTATTAATCCGTACCCAATAACATTTTATAGGGACTGTTTCTATTGTCAATCTCTAATAACATTCTCTGGAGACTGCTCTTATATCAGTCTCTAACAAGGGGTCCAAGTACTATCATGGCATGTTTACGTAACCATTTCATTAAGAATCGCCCCACCTCAATATCACCTCTTTGACATCCAAAACATCCTCAACAACATCTGGTTGTGATTTTGGAAGTTCGGCTTGTTTCTCCGTTGAAACAGGAATGACTCAAAAATACTAAAAAAATCAACACTCACAAACTGAGTGAGTTATGACATGGATGACACTTATACCACAAGCACAAAAAACAATCAAGAAAGATACACTTAATTAGATCAAATATCATTCATATTAATTCTCACTCGTGACAACCTACACTGCGTCAACCTAACACTCCCCACATTAGCAACAACTAGATGTGCTAAAATATGACTATGGTTTGAATATCTTTTGATGATGGTATTCTTCTCAGTAAGGAGGAATATATAGAAGTTTACAAGTGTGCTTTACAAGGAATTAGATACATGAATTAAATAGGAGAATATCCCCTAATTATACAAGGATTGTCGACTATATTGAAAGAAGTAAATAAATCACCGAATTAACTTAGGAAATAAATTTCCTTGATTTGTTAGGTTAATTCACGTCAACACTCCTCGTCAAGTTGGTGTATACACGTCACTAATGCCCAACTTGGTAAGTGAGTCATGAAACACTCTGGAGACATCCTCTGTCAAGACATCTGCTAACTGATCTTCTGACTTTACAAAGGATCGGCAGATGATCTTGTTCTTAAATTTTTCTTTGATGAAATGTCTATCCACCTCAACAAGTTTTGTTGAGCTGGATTATGAGCAATATCAATCGTTGACTTCTTGTCACAATTTACCTGAAAGATGTTGAAGCAGCTAACCGTAGTATATTTGATCTATTTCTCTTGTATCCAAAAGTATTTAGTACGAAATACTAGTCAGTATATTGGCTTAGCCATTTCCTTGTCCAAAAGTATTTAGTACGAAAATTTTAGATGGCAAAACAGGGGTACAAAAAGAGAGAATGGTGGACAATGTAATGTATATGTATAAAGTCCTTAGTTGGCACTGTCTTTGTGTTGGTTCGTGCCTTACTGAAAATGATGGAGGGCATAACCAAGGTGGTTGGTGTGAGTGGTTCGGCACTCTCATTCCTTAAGAGAGGTCAGGGGTTCGATCCCTGCTCTTGTATGGAGTCACCACTTTGGCCAGCAATTTACTCCTTACGGGCCGACCCGGTGTGAGCGGGGATTAGTCTGGGTTGTGGTTAAGGCTTAAAGGTGCCATCCATAGTTGGAGCCCATCCAGGACCACCTCGTGGTTCAGACCAAAAAAAAAAAAAATGATGGAGGGCTTTAGGCACTGTTTTCAGTTTTTCCGTGCTTTATTCAAATCATTGGTCACGAAAATTATTAATCCTATACCATTGAATTTTTATAAACAAATCCAAAAAATGACAGCTGACCTTATTGAATTTAATATTAATTATTAAATTACTTTGATACCCTATTAAGTGTTTTGGGTATTTTTATGAGATTTTGGGGTTGAACTTGTTTTAAGAAATTGATGGCAGTTTTGTAATTTATAAGTTAAAAGCCTCTTTGTTATGTTTTAAATGTGCTTTGGATGTATTTCTAAAGTCCATTTCATATGGGGTATTTTTATAATTTGGGCCCTTATGTTGGGTATAAAAGTGAATCTCCCTAAAATTTTATAGGGACTGTTTCTATTATCAGTCTCTAATAGCATTCTCTGGAGATTGTTTTTTATATCAGTCTCTAACAAGGGGTCCCTATAAAGCATTTTTATAGTAGTGAATCTTGATATTTTAAGGACTCTGTGTGAAACTTAAACGGGGATACTCAAACGAACCAACATGAAATTTTTGTTTTGTTTTGTTTTTGGTTTTGAGTGGGAGAAAGCACTTTAAATTTGAGATTGATAAGTAGAGTTTCATATGTGCACGGCTATAGTGGTTTAGTTGATGCGTCCTTTTGCTTTTTGTTTTTTTGTTCTTTTGCATTACAACATGCAACTATAAAGATACTAAAGATCACTAAAATATTCATTGAAGACAACAAACCAACTTCACCAAGCACATAATTATGTACATATATTACATGCTTATATATATATATATATATATATATATACATAAAAAAAATTTGGTGGTCCTTCTAAATTGAGGAACCTATATGATGGCATTACTTGCACCATGCCAGGATCGCCCCTAAATCCAAGTCGGACTGAAGATAATTGAGTTATAGTTCTAAGGAAAGAATCCCAAGGGAAATTATTCAATCTAAATTTCGGAATTATATAGATAAACACGGATTACTTAAGTCTCTTAATAGGCTATTTATACTATAATAATGTAGCCCTGGCTTTCCTAGTTCGTAACTATTAATAAATCCTAGCCCTACTAGGACTTCATAATATCCTGACTCTACTAGTTCTTTGTTATTAACCAGAACACTAGCAAGCGGGGTCATTTTTGCTTTGGAAGAAGTCAACTCCAGCGAGAAAGCCTTGATAACTTCAAGTACTATCATGGCATGTCTACGTGACCATTTCATTAAGAATCGCCCCACCTCAATATCACCTCTTTGACATCCAAAACATCCTCAACAACATCTGGTTGTGCTTTTGGAAGTTCGGCTTGTTTCTCCGTTGAAACAGGAATGACTTAAAAATACTGAAAAAATCAACACTCACAAACTGAGTGAGCTATGACATGGATGGCACTTATACCACAAGCACAAAAAACAATCAAGAAAGATACACTGAATTAGAACAAATATCATTCATATTTGTTGACGCAGAAAAATAGTTCGGCACTTTCCCGCGCAACTTAGTGATGTTGGGCCTTTGGTATGCTCTGGGCCTCGGTAGGGCGTGCAATCTGCGAGATAGCAAACGCTCGGTAAGACCAAGGGCACCGGTGTGGTACCGGCCGAAGGCTTTCTGATGCTTAGGTAAGTACGAATTTAGTAAGATTGAACTACAGATCAATAGGCAGTATGCCGTAAGTTCTGATTACCTCCATTCTGGGGAATTGTGCTTCTTTTATAGACCTTGGGAGGTGTGCATGTTGTGTAGATTTTCGATGTGGGACTGTGGATATCAATTGTGAGCTTGCCACGTGTCCTAGAGAAGGAGGTTGCCTTAATTGTTGGATCGATAAACTGGGTGCCGAAGGCTACCATGACCCATTTCGTCTACGTGTCAGCTTCTCATTGGCTGTCCTACCGTTCGGTAGTGGAGCTGATGGAAGGGCTCAATCTTGGTGCTTCCGTGCTTTCCCATCCGAAAGCTAACGTCGGGGGAGTCAGAAGGTCGCGTCAAGTGACGTTTGAAGAGACGTGTGGGTGCTTCGTCTTCTGTGCCTTGCGTGCCGTCAGTCCCCCACAGGATAAGCGACACGAGGCGAGAGCAATTATTAGGCGCGGTGCATTAATGCGCAGTTTGGTTTTTCGAGGTGTACCGTTGCGAACCCTCGCCCTATAAATAGGGGTTGACTCCGGAGAGGAATTCACTTTGCGTTTGTGAGAAGCGAGAGCTCTGTTGAGGCGAGTTCCGACGAGAGCTTCCGGCATTCAAAGGGATTTCAGATGCGGGCTAACGGTAATTCAGGCGATTTCCGACGTAGCGAACGGCAAGAAAGGCGAATTCCATCAAGGCGATCGGTATCATAATTCATGGTCTTCATTCGAGAGCTTGATTTAAGGTACCGTTCGGCACCCTCAATTTACTCTCTCCCTTAACTATTGTTACGTCATTCCTTGGCTTGAATTAGACTGACCATAGGGTTCCGTTCGGTAGTCTAGTTGCCATAGGTAGTGATGTAGAGGTCGGTAGGCTAGTCTTCGGCATGAACCTTAGTTTCCTTTTCTTTGTTTTTGTAGATGTCTGATAGAGAGTCAATTCCCGAGCGTGAGCCCAATGCGCTCGATGGGGAGTCATCAGACGATCTTTTTGACTCGGACAACGAGGCGGTAGGCCCTGGTGCCGAGGACGGAAGCGACACCGATGTTGAGATACTCGGTGAAGGCCCCAGCTCCGTTCCTACACATGGCATCGGTAAGGGGCTAATGACTGCACTGGTACCGTTGTCCATTGTTTATAGCGACGGTAGTCACATCGGTATAGACATGCCCGGGGAGACGAGCGCTGGCCGCTAGTCTGAGACCTTCACTTCCGGCCGTGGAGAGTCAACCGTCGAACCATCCTCTCGGCCGAGGGTATCGGTAGTTTTTCCCAACAATCCTAGGGTGTCGATGGGAGTTCCGAAGGAGCACCTATTCGGCGTAGACTACCTGGAGCCCAACAAGATTACTGAGCGGGAGATCGCGAGATATCGCGCCTAGTATTTTATACCCGATTCGGTAAGGATGAGGATCTCAACGGCCACCAATTCTCTGAGTAAGCCGAAT